TTCCACCTCCAAAATCTGCCAGACATCCCAAAAACAAACACTAAACCCGAGCCCCACCCATCTCCCTACGCCTTCTCCTCCTCCCCGAACGTCCCAAAACTACCCTACCCTGACGGCTTAGCCTCCTAGCAAACGACATCCCATTATCCCCCTCTTCACCATCCTCATCCGAGTATTCAAACCCTCTATCCTGCCTCACCTGGCCACCAGACCCAAACGCCTGCAAAAACAAGAACACAGACATCAAATTCCTGTCTGTCCCAACATCATCATCATCAATATCATCGTCCGAGTAGTTTCCCCTTTCAATCACATAATCCCCGAAAAACACAGCCTCAGGGTTAGACGATCGAATGGTGCTAATCACATCCTCTTGCTCCCTCTCCCTCTCGAGCCCTCTCCACCTCTGCTCTCGAATCGGGTCCACCTCACGTGGCCTTGCGCTCGGGTGCTCTGCCCTAACGTGCTTCCTCAGCTCCTTGAAATTCCCCAAAAACGGGCACCCGTCTTGCATGCATCCCCTGCGCTTGGCGTTGAGGTGTTCTCGAGCAGGCTCGACCACAGTCCACCCTTTGACCTGCCCACGGCAGAGCGGGCAGACGAGGTCCATGGCCTTGTGGTATTGGTCGAGGCAGTTGGAGTAGCGAGAGCTTGTACCGCACATGTAGGGCCGGCAGCCCTTGTTGTGAGACGAGCAGAGGAGGAGAACTGCGTTGTGGGGGAATTCCATGCAGACAGAGCAAGTGGCGTCTTCCCAGTCCTTTTTGAATAACTTGGGCTGTGTTTTCTTCTTGTGGTGGGGTCTCTGTGGGTAAGGTGTGGGCCTGAACTGGCGGGAAGAGATCCCACGTCTGCCTCTTGTGCCTTTTGCCATTTCCTGGATAGGGTGCAACTAATTAGGTAAATCCTCAATATTATCAATATAATTAGGTGAATTCAACTAATCATTCTTACACATAACATCGATTTTATTTCACTATTCATCCACTCACGTAATTTTAATTAATCATCGTTTCTAGTTTTTTCTCCTACTTTTACATCAAATCAACTTTAATTATTTTATTTTAAATATTATTCTAATTTAAAATTAAATTCCCACTAACAAATCATACGACATTTTTCAAAATTAACTACAGTTAACCAAAATAAAAAAAAAAAACAATCAAATCCATATCCAATCACACCCTAACAGTTTTGGGAACAGATTTAAAACAACCATGCTCGACAGGTCACACAGCGTTTAGTGTGAGTCGGGAAGTTATTGTTTTACAGATCAGTTTTCTGGTGGTATTTCAGATGTAGTCTTGTCGGGATATCAATGATGTGTGAGGCAGAAGAAGAAAATGATGAATGGCTTAAGGTTTAGCATAATTAGGAGAAGAACACAGTTGCCACACAAAATTTCAAATACCCAACCTTGACATACAGTTTTATTTATGAGTTTTATGCATAGTCAGGGTTTAATTTGTACCGCTTCAAGGGGGTAAGTATAATTTTAGAAGATGACTGAACTTATTGGTCATATTATTAGAAAAAATAATCGATGCACATTGCAGTCATGTTCATGTACCCTCGACTTAACATATAAAGCAATACGAATAGTGTTCATGTTCAGCTATGAGAACAAAAATGACACACTACTAAGAGAGGCATACAGTTTAGTGTCTAAAGAGCTTAAGTGAAAGAGAAGTACAAAACAGGGGTGGTTAAGCATTTGGCACGCGATGGAGAAAGCATTCTAAGGCAACACAGGGCCATTATTTTAAATTTTTAACGTATTGGAGCACAAGTGCACAACACAATGCAACCAAAAACAAACACAATGGATTATTCATAATCTGGTGAAAGTATTTATAAGCCATATACTTATGGAACTAAATTTAACTAAGAGATTCGTGTGACAAGGAAACTAGCAAATAGCATTAGTTAACCAGAAATGCCCATCCTTGCACACGAGTAGAGAAAGGAAAATGCCGTGCCAGGCTACTAGCCAAGTACACGATGACTGGAGCGAGAAGTAAGATAAAATAAAGTAATACGATATGAGAGACAATCAACATATTTTAAAAGATTCTACTGCTTAAAACATAAGCATGCAACTCAACCTTCTAAAGCCACATAAAGAAACTGCCAAATCAAATCAGGTAACCATTCTCCACCCATCTAAACAAAGGTGTGGGAAGTGAGAACAGCAATCAACAAACAACCTAGTATGAATAAAATAAGGTAATGCTAAATTTGAAAAAGCTCATGAATTACCTCACCAACACAACATATTGCATCTTCGCAGTCAAATTTAGTCTATCTAGAAATGGGAGCAAGTACCTATATAATCCTGAGCCCCATAAAGAACTCGATAATGAAATTTTAGATTAAAATTTTCTCTCAAGCAAATAAGTTCCATGGATTAGCTGGTCAGACCTTCCCCTAGTGAACAAAACAAGCCACCAAATGTAACCCATACTCATATTTAAACTGATCCAACAAATAGACAGACAACTAGGAAACTGAAAAGTTCACACAAAACAAAGAACAAAACCTACCTCACAATTCAGAAAGAAAGCAATTCTGGGCCCCAACTTAAGAACTATTTGGAGACAAAAGCAAAGGTCTCAGTTAGTATATGCGTATGCAATTTCAACCTTTAGTCAGTATGTAAAGTATTACGATATCTATTAAGGTTCAAGATCAGATGCACATACACATATACATACATGCGTCATAATACAATTAAGATAGGAGAGATTCGGATAACATTATTATGGAGACATCCAAAACAAGAAACAACATGCCACAAGATCAGAGTCAGGCGAGGCGACTGATAAGAAAAGCACTGCCGAATTTCTGCTGAAGCTCAATTTTAATNATAACCCGTGAATTAAATAATGCAGAAACTTATTCTAATAAATTTCTAATGGGAAAAATTAAAGAAGAGATAGAAAATCAAATTATTAGCAAAGCAATCAATCGTAAAGGCACCTAACCACATGAGTATCTCATCTGAGATTCTTTATTTTTTATTCATAAATTCCAGAAACCATCTAAAAAATTGCTTCAACATACCGGAGAATTCGCTCGTAACGGGAATTGGTGGACGAGAATTTTTCGAGAAAATATAGAAAATTGATAAGGTTCTGCAGGAAAAAAAACAAATGAAAATGACAAGAAAATAGGAGATCAAAATGGCTATGGGCAGATCGAGAGATTTTCAGAGCGCGGGCATTTTCCGAAGATTTCGAGAATTTGGCATATAGGCGAGCCCCCGGGCCGCCCCGCTACACTCCGGGTTGCGTAATATGTAAACTACAGAAAAACCTTAAATTATTACTTGATAAATTAATAATTTGTCCTGTCCCAAATTGGGACCAATAAATATTTGGGACCCAATCAATAAAATTATAAGATAATAATTTTTTTTAGATTCCAGTGTATATATATTGGTCCCGACGAAACTATAAATTAATAATTATTAAAAATAATCTATATATATATATATATATATATATATATATGATGCACTTGAACATTCTTAAGACAACTTAATAAAATAAGAATCTACTGTAACTTGTTTNGGGGTTGTCTTCAAATCTATGTTGGTCATGGTTGATTTTTGAATTCCTTTTAAATGAGTGACCATTTTTGTGTGTGATTTACCAAGATTCCAATGGATAAATATATAGTGTTGACTTCTATCCATGATTCAATGCACAAATGTTAGTCCAATGAACCATATTACCATTTCAACTTCCACGTGAGTTTGTGTTCATCAAATTCTACTAGAACATTTGTATTTTAACTTAATTTTCATCAATAACTATGCATGTATACTTAAAGTTATTCAAAAAAATTGAAACTTTGAAGGTCAACTGTGCATATACGTTAAAACCTCTTTAAATTAATAAATTATTAATTTATCGATATAATAATATCTCTATAAATTAATAAAATCCTCCGGTGCCAACATTATTAATATATAGAGGTTTTACTGTATAGTTAGTGAAAATTGTTTCAACTAACCCATTCTACATAACAATTTGTTTAAATGACCCTTGACCCAAACTATAAAAATAAACTTAATGAAAAATAAAATTTAAAAGACAATTACTATTATATCCTCACTAGTATCTTCTTCCAACTTTAAAGAAATCAATAAATTGCCGACCTCTCTCATATTCTGCTCCTCTCTCGCGACCTCCTTCCTCTCTCTCGTGACATCTTTCTTGCAACCTCATCTCTCTCTTTCGACCTCCTCTCTCTTTCTGCTTCTCGCTCTTGCGCCCGATCCCTATGGAGCTCTCTCTCGTCAATTTTGGTACGGATTTTTTGGTTTTTGACAATTTGTTCTTTTATCTAATTTCCTTTTTTTGAGCCTCTGATATTCTTGGAGCAAGATTTGATTGTGTTATATGAATTCATCTGATTTTGCTAGTTTTGATGGAACTGAAGATGGTAATTGGTGCACTCTATGTGTTTGATGAAATACTTGTAGGATTGAGCTAATAAACTAAAGATACTAATTGGTGCACTCTATGTGTTTGATGAAATGTTGGCTATGCTACTTGTTGTATACTTGGAACCAATCATTCTATCTTCGTTATATATTACACTAGAACGAATTCACACTCGTTATAGTATCGCAACACTTATAACGAAACTCATTTTATGAGATAACAATACTCGTTTCTTTTTAGAAATTGATAGAATCCATTAAAAGTGACTTAAATTCTAACTATAACGAGAAAAGTATCGTTATAATATATTAGAATATTCACTTGTGAGTTGTCCCACATTGTTTATATAGGGAAAATAGGTCTAATTTATAAGTCTAAAGGGCTACTCCTCCTTCAACCAATTGGTTTAGGATGGAACCTCACTTAGGCTTCATCTGGGTTTTGCCAGTTTATGGTGCGCTTCACGTGCGTGGGACCGCACCCGTTTTACCCTTGTTTCTTACATGGTATCAGAGCCGGTTCTATGGAGACCGTGCGATGACGTACCCATTTTCCCCACGTACCCGTTTATGGGAGCCTGTTTCTAGTAGGACTCGGGCACCCAGCTCCGTATATGGGCTTGGGCTTTCTTATTAATGACTCACAAGTGATGGGGCGTATTAGAATATTCACTTGTGAGTTGTTCCACATTATTTATATAGGGAAAATAGGTCTAATTTATAAGTCTAAAGGGCTACTCCTCCTCCAACCAATTGGTTTTGGGATGGAACCTCACTTGGGCTTTATCTAGGCTTTCCCTGTCATTGTGCGCTTCATTTGCATGGGACCGCACCCGTTTTCCAGCCTGTTTCTAGTAGGGCTTGGGGCATCCAGCTCTGTATATGGGCTTGGGATTCTTATTAAGAACTCACAAGTAAGGGGGCGTGTTAGAATATAACTTGTGAGTTCTTCATAAGAAAGTCCAAGCCCATATACAGAGTTGGCTGCCCAAGCCCTACTGGAAATAGGCTCCAATAAATGGGTACGTGGGGAAAACGGGTACGTCATCGCACGGTTCCCAATAGAACCGGCTCTGATACCATGTAAGAAACGGGGGTAAAACGGGTGCGGTCTCACGCATGTGAAGCGCACCATAAGTAGGAAAAACCCAGATGAAGCCCAAGTGGGGTTCCATCCCTAAACCAATTGGTGGAAGGATGAGTAGTAAGAAACGGAAGCAAAACGGGTGCGGTCCCACGCACATGAACCGCACCATAAGCAGGGAAAACCCAAATGAAGCACAAGTGGGGTTTCATCCCAAAACCAATTGGTGGAAGGAAAAGTAACCCATTAGACTTATAAAGTAGGCCTATTTTTCATGTATAAACGATGTGAGAAAACTCTCAAGTGATATTCTAACACTTTCACTTTCACAAGCTGCGCACCTCAACTCTAATCTCTCTTCTTATAGCCGCAATAGGTATGTTAGCCCAGCGCCGCCCACATTCGTCGTGGACAGCCCAGAAGCGGCAACTAGTGAACTTATTTCGTCTGGAAACACGACAGCGACAAGTCAATCCATCAGGACAAGTAGAGATAGGCATTATGAATCTAATTATACTTGATTAATTTTTTATTTTTTATGCATGGCAGCGGCCCGAGATTACGTAGGACGAAATCCTTCATTTATAGGACATTGGATCCTAGACTACCTCAACAAATGTTTTTAATCATAAGGCATTTTTGTGAAATATCGATTTTAACCCAAAAATAATGGCAAACGGAAAAAATTATACCAACGTGTGGTAAATAGTGGTAATACCATTATCTAACCACTTAAAAAAAGAAAGAAAAAAAATTTGGCCACCTTTTTCAAACTAATGAAATCTAGCCATATTTGCTTGTGAAAATACCTATTTACCCTTAGACTCAATTTTTTCATTTCTTCTCCCTTTTTCATCGAGTGGCCCCGCCCGACTTTCTCCCATTTTCTTCCCCTCATTCTTCATTAGCAAAATTGGCGAGCAATTGACCTTTGATTCTCCCTCTTCACGATTCATGACAATCTCCCATCTGTTTACTCGAATTAGCCGTCAGTTGACCTCCAAAAGCTGCTGCTCTTCAGTACCTCGGTCGTCTATTGAAGCACCTCTCCCATCTATTCAGCACCTCAGCTCTGATCATCCGTTTCTTCTATCGAGTGACTGGTTGTCAAGGACGTCTCTAGCCGTGCACTCGACCCCGGCCCTCGACGTGTAGTGTCTTGTCCTCTGCTTCTTGCTGCTGATCTCCTCCGGTGACCGCCACTGCTCTTCTCCTCCAGCAACCTTCGCTGCTCTTCTCCCACAGTCGACTGTTGCTGGTGTTCTCCTCCGGTGAATCGACCTCCGCTGACAAATACTAATTTTTATCAAATATCACAAATATTTTTTTTAAGCTAAATTTTATTGAATTTGAATTTTTTTCTGAAAATAAAAGCAATTATATGATATTTGTAGTCACGATCAGTTATATCTTGTTGTTTTTAGAGTCACAGATCTCTATTATCTGATGGTTATTATTTATGATTATAATGGTGATAATGAATATAGTTCATCCACTATTAATGTTTTATTTAAGAAAACACTTTAAAATATAATAAATAAATTTGCATCTTACTTTTATTCATCCACAATATTTTTAACAGCAGGCCGAATAACGCACGAGTAACATACTTGTAAAATTCAATTGTAATAGACAGTGTTATTTTTTAATAGCGTCTCTAATGTGGGTTTTGACAGCACAAAAAGCTAACCATATCACATTTTATTGAGAGTGTGTTATTAATTTATTCTTTATTATATCTTGTCATGAGCTCTTTCACGATGAGGTAGATAAAATTTAGTGGCGACATATTAATCTCACTTTCTACTATCTAACATCATACTAAACATGATGATTTATCAATTCACTCCATATATGGCTTAAATTTTTATTGCTCTCGTATCAATGAATTAATATAATTGCTCCACCTATACAAATAATTGTTGCTCATATTATTAGTCAATCTGAGTTAATTAAGGATTAAACTCTAATAAAGGTTTGCTCATATTAGCTGAGCTAATTAAGGATTATACTCTAACCATTGTTGCTCATATTATTAGCATATTTGAGTTAATGAAAGATTATATTCTAATCACCCCCACAAACCGATCGCTTCGAAATTACATCTGCACATTCTCAACTCAGACAACTTGTCGATTTATAAGTGGGCTAAGGGGTCTTCCTTCGTGTCGATCTCACACCTCAACGTGAAAACATGCAACCATGTGTCAATTTGCATGCGGAGGGGTCCCCTTTTTAGCTGCCACGTGTCCACTCATCAAAATGTAATGATGAATTTTACCTTTTTACTTCCTATAACTTGTAAAAATGTGAAGGAGAAAAAACAAGGAAAACAAACTAATAACACGAAAACGAGGCTCTCTTTGATACATTCCATCATTTTCCATACTCATCTCCGCACAATTTGCACAATACTTACCTTTTGCCTATTCATATCTCCCTTACAGTCATTCTAACTCCGTGTTACCACTTTGTTGATTTCGAATATCAACAATAACTTACTACTGAATTGATGCATTGATGATAGTAGTTTGAGTCACGCTTTTTGCCTTTTAACATTTTTCATCTGTATTAACATTGCAATCGTTAGTTGATGTGTTAAAATCAATACCTTTCAAAGCAAAGCTAAAGATGCTCTAATAGACAGAAAAATCCCATTAAAAGTTACTGGATAGATAACATTTGTCTGATTAGGTAGGACGTTATTCTTGACAAATTATTAAAATTACTGGTCAGTAGTAAAAATAATAATAATAATAAAAAGAATATTGACTTTGGAGCTCGAGTATTAGAGCACCTGCATTGGTGCGTTAATGCACCTCATTTAAATGCCTCAATATCCATTCAACCACTGTACGCGTTCATTTAATTGCCTCAATATCCATTCAACCACTGCACGCGTTCATTTAATTGTGGGACCAATGTATCCGTTCATTGCTCTTAACGGCTTTTTTGAGCTTTTTTATTTTATTTATTTATTTTTTTTAATTCAGCTGCGTTTTTTATTATTATTTTTTTATTTATATTTTTTATCCTCATTTTTTTTTGCCTATAAATACACTTCATACTTGCACTTCTCCTACACAAAAAATTTAACACTTCTCTACAAAAAAAAAATTAGTTTATTTTGGTCTTGTAGTGTTCTTTTATTTTCATGCATTTAAAATTTATTATTATAATTTAAAAATATTAAATTTTAATTTTTATTGAGAATAAAATATTAAAATTTATATTGAATGAATGGATATAATGGGTCCTATATTTGTATTTAATTGAATGTGTATGGATGTGAGTGTGTGTTTAAAGGGAGAGAGAATTAGTGGAAAGGTGATGTGGAGATGATGTGGAAGAGAGAGAGTGTACTTTTTTTATTGAATGAATGAGAAAAAAATTAACCAATGCAGATTCCCTTAGTAGAATAATGGTCATGGTCTTGGCAAAGTAGATGCTAAGTAGTCTTTAAATTGTTATATTAACATAGTTTGAATAGTCATTAGACTCATTACATTATCTTTCCTTTGAATATTGGTCACACAGTGAATTAGAATTTAGGCATCCAACTAAAATGCAGACCCAAGTGGATCCTACACAGTGCATTGTGAAATTACCCTATACCATTTAGCAAAATAATCTTGCAAGAAACTGCAAATTGCATCAGAAACTTTAATAGGAAGTATTGCTAAAACCAAATCATTATGTAGTTAAGCAGCAAACTGGTTCAAAGATAAATAACTCTAAATCCAAAATAATGATACATAATGCAAACAATGAAAAACCAAATCAACCCAAGCACAAAGCATCCCTACATGCAAATGCTATCTATTCAATCATACAACACTAAAGCTTTTTTCCTTTCATGCTATTTAAATTGAGAGTCAAGAACTAGGAACCTTTATTTGAGTCGTCTCCAGGTAAGTCATCCTCATCATGGTAGATATTATCGGCCATCTGCCAAATTTGGAGTATATTATCCTCTGCAACACTAGCAACAACCCAATCTTCACAAGGGTTCCATGAAAAATCTGAGATCTTGCTCGTGTGGCCACCGTGAATGAATATCAACTCAGGTGGGCCATCCTCAGCATCCTCTGGCGTCTGCTCCTCATCAATCCTATCNAAGCATATGATGAAATTTGAATCTCTAGAGATAATCAAATCACACAATTGCCACAGAGCAGGAAAGTAAGAATATACAATCTGGATTCTAGCAAAGAAAAAATTATTAGCATTACAAATACCCCCTTTATATTCCTTTAAGTTCGTATTTTCCTAACAAAATAGTCACTTAAGCAGCTGTAATTTGTACAAAGTAAAACTAGATATGAGGGGTTACTTGTAATATCAAAACCTAGTTGGTCAATCAGTGCCTGGACTAAAATCAAGGGTTTCCTTTTCCTTCGAATTAATAGTGCTCAATTAACAAGAGTATACCCAAAAACAAGAAGATGCTCCTAGATGAGGTAGTTGAGCTAATAATTTTCAAAGAATGTGGAGAAAAGAAAAGGCAAAGGAGAAAAAAGGAAACAGAAAAGAAAGGTAAACCAAACATTTAATAAGTTTGCATATATGCTTGGACTCCTATAGATAATGGGGTTAGAATGGTAGAGAGGAATAGATGTGCAGCTAGTGAAGTACATTCTCCATGGTCCTGAGCACTTGAGCATGCAACCAAAGAGCTTTTTTCAATATAAAGAAGCAAATAGGTCCAGCTATATAAATACAGGCTCAATATGGTGAGAAGAGAATTACGATGAAAAAAATAAAAAACACAAAAGAAATAAAAAGGTTAAAAAGAACAATAAAAACTAAATAAATAAATAAAAGAACAACAGATAATCAAATAGCATCAAGTTACCTGCTAAGATCCCAAATCATTAGCCTCCTACCAAGGCAACAAGAAGCTAAGATAGTCTCGTTCTTTGGATTCCATCCAACCTGGAATACTTCCTCCCTGATGTGCAATTAAAGTGGATTTAAGATAACAACATTGGTCTAGCATGCCGTTTTGAAAAATATTTTAATCACGCATTGAGATAAATAAGGTATATTTACTCCACAAAACCAAAGTACAATAGATGCTTACTTGTGGCAATCAAAAGTATGGAGGGCAGTCGAAAGCTTTCTCATGTCAAATAATTTGACAGTCTTATCAGTAGACCCTGTTGCCAGAACCCACTCGTTGAATGGATTAAAAGCTAAACAGTTCACCTACGTACATACCCATTCAAAATAACTTGTCAATTGTACAATCTCCACACAACAAAAAATCTGAAGCAAAGAATATATATTCAAGTGTGAGCTCCCTTTAATTATACCCATCCTAGAGAGAAGAAATCTAATGCCCCATTTCCGTTAAATGCATATCAGGAGTTAGTTTGACACACTAAGAAACACCTAAGGCCCACATATTCTAAGGACGATTGCCATAGAATAAAATAAATAAATAACAAGCTAACATAATTTTCTACAACTGAGTAAATATTTTTTTCCCCTTATCGTCTCACTTTCCATCTTTTTCTTGAAGAATTATTAGAACTGTAGAGTATATCAGAGTGAGTGTAAAGATAAACTTGCTGGAGGAAAATCAGCTATGACAGTTTTGCTGGAAACATATATTTTTTTAATTGTCCACATCCATTAGCTAAATATAAGTTCGAAATCAAAAAACCGCAGAAAAGTTTTTCCCCAATTTCACAACTGAGAGAAAGAGAGAGAGTCATTCTCCTTCTAGATGGTCTAAATAGGTGTGTTAATGTTTTAGACACAGTCAGACACAGAAGACCTCAGTTTTGACTAAAAGATTCCTTTTAGCTATTTGTCTGAGTATTATAATATTTTATCATATTTTTGATAATTCTTTTCCTGATTAACAGAACAAAATCATGGTACCAACCTCACTTTGATGAGCAACCACAGATTGTATAGGCTTGCTAACAGCTGGAGTTCGAAGGTCCCATATATGCAGATACTGATCATCTCCAACAGAACCAAACAAGTACTCATGCCTCAGATGCCATGCCACATCTTCAACAACACCTTCATGAATCTGCTCACACAGCACATAATAACTTTTGTCAAAGAAGTTGCACAGTTCGAGATATTAGAGAAAAAAAATGCTAGTAGCAGATTTCTCTGATATAACTACTGTCATAGTGTACATGACCAAGTATAAAGAACATATACAGACAGAATTTCATTCAAGACACCTTAAAAATTTGCATTGCATCAAGAGCCTTGTTCTTTGGAGTCGCGTTTATGTCCCATAAACATATCTGGGCATCATCCGAACCGCTCAATAAATGGCCCTGCTTCAACTGACTCCATGACAAACCGTATCCTTCAGTACTATGGCCCCTCAGCCGCAAGTCAGGGTTGCATGTGCCGTCCAAAGGAGGTTTAGACGGATGTTTACTATAATCGAAAACATAAACCTCTGCACTAACAGTCTTTGTTGCAATAATAAATGGGTTTTGCGGCATATATCGAGCCCGGTTGACCTCCCCATCATGGTTAATTTGTTGGATAATTTGCACCTGCAGTGAGACATACCATGATGATTGATGAACATTACGCCTTTGAAGTCACAAAAGTTATATAGGTGACAGAAAGAAAGGGTTGAAAAAAAAAAAGAAAAATCAGGAAGGCATTTTGCATAATGTTCAGCATTTAATAACCATTATATCAACCATGAATTTAAGCACATTCCAGTATACAGATGTACCATTACATTAAAACTTATAAGGACACAATTGTTAATATTCTTCACCAGTAGAACTAATTTTAAGTCTTTGATTACAACATACTGGAAATCACAGAAAACTGGCTTATGTACAAGGCGTACATCCTATATTTTATGAGAGTTGGGATCTTTATAAGTAAAGACTTTTCAGAAATCCAGAATTTGATGTTCTGGTGTTCCAGCATTTGGATGACAACAGGTTAAGTTTATGATCCAACATCTGACTTTAAGGATTTAAGGACCTAGTACAGAACCTGTGCCAGAAACCTTAATGGGTGCCAAAGATGGTTATGAAATATATGCTTTCCATATCATTCTACCCGTCACATATTTTACTTCATTCTATGCGTCACTTTTGGAAAACCAGGTTGAATTAATTTGCATATTTTCTTCAATTAGGAATGCATTAATGTTAGTCAAATTAATTTTGTTTTTCGAGTAGCATTTACTTGGAGCTTGAAATGATTACTTGCTGAAATTTGAATCAATAACTAAAATTTGACACTTTGATTAAGTTTAGAAACTTAAAGGCATGCTTTTCTATTCCATGTGAGAGAACCCAAGAAAACAATTTAAATGAGGGAGAATAATAATAATAACAACAACTAGTATAAAATTAAACAACATATTCTCTGGATAAAAATCATGAAAAGGCTACAGAATAATTTATAACACAAAACAAATAATTAAACGTGCACAAGCAGGTGATTGAACCTAAGGGACCTGCCTATCCTGACCCTGACCCGAACTTACTCACTCAAGCTAAAACGAAGTAGGTGGCTCCGGATCAGCTCCATTGCCGTCACTACCGAGGTGCCAAAACCCAAAGTAAAATTCAGAAGATTTTTCCAATTCCTTAAGCAAATATGAGTAAAGAACCGATTTTTCCCTCAACCCGACCATGTCCAATTTCCATAACCCGAATTATACCAATAAGCTGTTTTTTTCCTCACAAAAGAAGGGAAGAGAAGAAGTGGAAGCTCATTACCTTCCCATTCGCGCACCCAAAACCACCGAACTCAGATCGCTCATCGTCATACTGGCGAGCATCATTCTCGGCATCCTCGAGCGGCAGCTGCGCCTGCGCCAGCATCAGATAATTGGGCTCGTTCTCCGATGTGTGAGTCCCCAGAATCATCTTCTGGACTGAATAGTCCTTGCCCGGCGGCTCCTCCCGGTCGGGCAGCCACTCGACGGTCAGCGACGGCCACTCGAGCGCGTGGGTTATCACCAGATCGTAGAGGAAAGGGGTGTTCTTCTTCCAAATCTTGTACTCTTCGTTTATCAGGCGCTCCTCAATCTCCCCCCTCATCTCCTCCTCGTCTTTCCCCATTTTTTGCTCTCGCTTGACTAACTTCTCTCGAGTATCTCTGGAAAACCTGAACCAACTCGTGCCTTGTTTAGCTCAAAGTAGAAAGGAGATTTTGTGCTTTGATCTGTTAAGAGTGGTTCTCGGTGAAAACGGTGATGGGGGGAATCTGGGAGGGTTGAGAGGTGAATTGGAGGGAAGAATGTGATTTCAGTGCACAGCTTTTCACGCTGGATTTTTAGTGAGGCGCTTTGTTGTTTTTTTACACGTGTGTTGAAACCATGGTGGGTCTATTTTCCAGTAATGGGCTTTGGTGTGAGCCCAACTGCAAAATCCAATTCGTGCTACAGTATATTTCAAGTTTTTCTTAGGCCTAATTATTATAAAAACCACAACTTTTTCGGTTTTTGGCAAACAAAGCCATACTTTGTGAATTTGCTAAATTTATACACTACTTTGACTATTTTTTTACAAAACGAGTCACAAAGCTCAATTTTGGGCATTTTTCAGCTCACATGATATTTTCAGACTTGGAATTACTAGTTTTTAAGTAGGCTCCATGTGACAAGTCCATTCATTCGCATAAAATATAAGGACAAAACGCACAAATTTCGCTAAATACAGGGGATGTGATACATTGTTACTAGTCTAAGAGGTTTTGCACTCATGAGGTTTAGGTCAGTGTAGTGATAAGGACTTTGACAAACGGGCACATAAAGCTGCTAAAACTAAGGAGATGCATTTAAATATAGGTATCCAAGTTTGCTGACAACAATGGCCATGAATATAATAGGGGCATATTGAGCTTATTCACCCTAGTGAACCTATGAATCTTAGGGCTGCTCATTCGGTCAAAATCGAACCGAATTGACCAACAATTCAGTTTGTCCCTTATCATAATCGAAAATCGAACCGAAATTTACGATTCGGTTTGGTTTTTAACCAAAAATTCAGCGATTGGTTCGGTTCGATTTTTTATTAATCGCAATAAATAATTAATCTTCTCAATAAATTCTGAATTTTTAACCGAACAAAAAATATGATGTTTTACCCGAATAAAGAAAAAAATATTTTTTTTATCACTTTGTTTAATCTTCTCAGTAAATTCTAAATTCTCCTCAAGTGAAGATCGGACACGAACCGTAACTTGACAAAGTCAATCTTTAATACAAATTAATGGTTGAGCCATTTTAGCGGTCATTGAAGCTTAAAAATCATCAATCATTGAAGCAAATTAATGTTTTTATAACTTATATGTATAAATTAAAAACATGTATATATATGCGTATAAATCGGTTTTCGGTTTGGTTCGGTTAACCGATCACAATTGCCCAAACCAAACCGAAAACCAAGATTTTAAGAAAATGTAGACCGAAAACCGAACCAAATATTCGGTTTCAGTTTCAGTCCAAACCAAATTTTCGGTTTCGGTCGGTTAAGCTTGGTTGACCGAACTTTGTGCACCACTAATGAATCGTGTTGATGTTTTTGAACCCATTGAACTAACTATGATCATGTTGATGTTGTTGTTCCCAATGAATCCATTGGACTTCTTGTTGTTGTTGAGCTTATTCAAAAGGAGAAAATCATGGGCTCTATCTAGATACCAACTGAATAGATCATTGGTAGTGTTTTAGGTGCGAAAAATTATAAGGGGAAGTGGCTCTGGTTTGGATTCATTACATGTTCAAACCATACGTCAGTCCTAAACTAGTGAAGATGATGAAATTCAAAAATAAAAATGTTGATAATGCGGTTAGTTATTCAAATAGTTGTGGTAAGGAGAATGATGTGAGTCATGGTGGGCCTCATTTACATGAGTCTAGTGTATCTGATACGAGTGTAGGCCTAGCTATCACGAAGTCAATCTGTAATGATTTAACCCAACATTTAAACTTGACATGGATTTTGCTACTATTGCGAAATTTTAGAAAGCAATCCAAGAGTCATGTTATTAGAACTAAAACAAGCTTAAAGTATAGTATAAATGAAAAAGAAGAGTACAAAATAAGTGTAAAGTAGAGAGTTGTAAATGGAAAATCAATGCCCTTAAGAATAATAGATGCAGTATTTTTCAAAATTTTAATTTACATTCCAAACCATACTTGGAATTTATATTGGAAAGCAAATGACTGAATGAAAAGTTAATTTAATGTTAAGAATTTGAAAAGCAAATGACTGATTGGAAAAGTATATTGAAAAATTGAAGGTTGATCCTACAAGAAATACCCAATATTGGAAGGCATATGTGAAAAACTATGAGTGAATATATAGAGATACAAGCATAGCATGCTAAGATTAGCGCTTTGACGGTGATAGAGGATGATCCTTTCGTACAATACACTAAGCTCCACAATATGCTCCACAAAATCATTTTTATGCTAATCAATATTTAAATATTAATTTCATCTATACAATTTATTATTATTTTCTCGTACATCGCACGGGCTACATATTAGTTTTACTTATAATATTTTGTCACAATATGATTCTAATGGTTCTAATGGATATAGTATGATTTATGCCACAATATGATTTTATTGGTTCTACTAGTGGATACATCTTATACCACTAGATTAAAGTTAGACTAAATGTTTATTATATTTTTTGAAGACTTTTACAAAAATATGACATGCTAAATAAATCATTTATTAACTAGACATAAACCAATAATTAATGCAATTTAAAAAGCAGTGACAACCCAATTTAAAAATAAAAATAAAAAGAAGAAAAGCAGTGACAAAAATCAACCAACAATCAACCTTTACGGGTACGGATTGAACATTGTAAATTTAAACCAATCGAGAAAACCCATCCAGCTCCAACATTGTAGATCTAAACCAATCGAGAAATCCCATCCAGCTCCACTCCTGCCAGAGATGAATAAATGCGAGGAACCGGACCAAATGCAGAGCACGAACTCGATTGATGTTAATCATCATGGTAGATTATCCGTACTATGCGCATTAATGGCAGAAGGATCCGGCAATCATCGATATAAGGGTGCAACACCAATCGGGACATGTGTCGCAAGCTGGGCTCTCCATTTGCGTTGAGATCATAATATATAGTACTAAGCATTAAATGCGGTGTGACATAATATCATTAGCATATCTCTCAAACAAAAATGTAAAATAAAAGTCCCCAAGAGGACTAAAGCAAGACCTCAATTTTCCTATAAAAGGAAGGTGAGGCACCATTTTGTGCAAGGGGAATATTCCTCTTATAAATGATATATAGTGAGTCACGAATAGAACATATGTCCGTTCCATAAATCTGTCACAACTTCTTAGTACTATCTATGCAGACCGAACAGAGTGTACATCCTAGTACACAGTTCGAATTATTGTTGGTTACATTTTCATACATCAACACAACCATAATGAGTTTTGAAGGTAATGGTGTAATTTTCTCTTAAAGTTAAAACGTGACTAACATGTAAAAAAATTAACTAATTTCATACGGGTGGGTAATGACTTTGTAAAATTATTTAAAATGTAAGAAAATAATTACAAGACTCTAACAAGGATTTAACAATGTTCGGGGTATCATGTAATGAATTAAACATGTGTTGTACAGATCGAGTCGAGCGCTTTAGAATAATATATGATTTTAAAAATGTTCGCTAATGGTAGACGAACGATGAATGACGGCTAGTGGTGGTTGTCGGCTGCGGCGGGTGGTGGTGAGATGGTCGGTATTCAATTCTAGTACGTTTTTAATTTAATTACCATATTTTATAGTTATTTTTATTACATACATGAGCTAAAATTAAATTAGATAAAATTGTTAACGAAATGAAATAAATTATAATTTAAATCAAAGTAAGGATATAATAGATATTAAGCGTGTACGATTTGTATGAGGAAGTAAACATATTTTTTTGCCTTGTGCATTAAATTAAGTTGAAATTGAAGTTTTGATCAATCTTGAGATGAGGAAATACCTATTTTTAGGTATGTACGGAGCTACCTTGTCCTAGAAGGTCGGGTGGTTTATTTATTTAAAGGAAAAAGTGGAGTGGGAAAAAAAGGACGTATTATAAGAATCCGTTTTTCTAATAACATTTTATTAGAAAAACGGATTCCAATTATACGTTTTATATTTAATTTTGAATAATTTTAGAAATATTTATTTCCTTTTAAATAAATAAACCACCCTCGAATTGAAAAGAAATTAATAATTATAAACCGTATTTAACGAATCCGTTTTTTAAAACCCTAAATTTATTGATTTTTAGGGTTTTTAAAAACGGATTTGTTTAATACATTTTTAATTCATAAAATTTAAATTTAAAAAAATATATTTTAAAACGTATATTATAATTACGTTTTTAATTAACTAAAAAATATAAAAAATATTAAAAAACGTATAATTATTATACGTTTTTAAATGAAATTTTCTAAAAAATAAAAAATAAATAAAAACATATTTTATAAATACATTTTATAATTAAATAGCTATAAAACGTATAATACGTTTAACAATTGAAATAAAATCACAAATCTTCTTCTTCTTCCCATTTCATTTGCGTGACTGAACCTCAGAAAAAAAAAAAAAAAAACTCGATCCAATCGCTACCCCGACGTGAATCGACAACAACAACACGAACCTCATTTCTGGTTAAGTCATTCGCACGAGGTATATTGGCTTATCTCAACTTTTGACATTGTTTGAAATTGTTTGAAAATTGGTAATTGTTATAGTATATTTGAATGTGGTGGTGTTTGAACATTGTGAATTGTTAATTGTTTATCGATTATGTGTGTATGTTGAATTGGAGATTAGAATTTTGTTCTAAATTGTCAATTGTGTACCGGTTGGTTGTTGTTGGGCTTAGGGTTTTTTGAAATTAGGGTTAGAATTAGAATTAGGGCTTCCAATTTATTCGAAATATAAGTAAATTGTATGTTATTGTTGGATTATGGGTACTAGGGTTTTGGAGGATTAATCGATTGGGAATATTTTTTTTGGTTTTTTTGTTAGAGTAAAAAGATGGGTTTAAAGAGTAATTGAATTTTTATGGTGTTGGATTACACATTATGTGTTGTTGTAATTGGGAAGAATTGAAAGTTTTTGTTTGCAACAGGTATAAATGGCGTATTGTGGTCCGTATTTTGTTAATTTGTATTGGCTATTTGCAAGGGATCAGTTAAGAGATTTTGTTTCATTTATGGATAGTCCGGACGGTTCATTTGTCATTACGGGGAGGATATCATATGAACAAAT